AGGACAGACTATTAAAAGCAGCCACAGAGAGAAATAAGATCACATAAAAAAGGAAAGCCCATCAGGCTATCATCAGACTTCTCAGCAGAAACCTTACAAGCCAGAAGGGAGTAGCATAATGTATTTAATGCAATGAACTACAGAAGGGCCTCAAACTAAGAATATTTTATCTGACAAGATTATCATTTAAATTTGAAGGAGGGATTAAACAATTTCCAGATAAGCAAAAGCTGAGAGAATTTACCTTCTACAAAGGGTCTCTACAGTGTATTTTGGAGGGTCTACTATACATGGTAGTGTTCCTAAGGTTTAATAGCTGTCACCAGAGGTAATAAAACCACAGTAAAGTAGAACAGTTAATTAGTAAGCAAATGTTAAATTAAATCAACTATCCCCAAAGTCAATCAAGGGATAGACAAAGAGTACATAATATGATACCTAATATATAAAGAATGGAGGAGGAAGAAAAAGGTGGTGAAAAAAAAAAAAGAACCTTTAGATTGTGTTTGTAGTAGCATACTAAGTGAATTAAGTTACACTCTTAGATAGTAAGGAAGTTAACCTTGAACCTTTGGTAAACACAAATCTAAAACCTGCAATGGCAATAAGTACATACCTATCGATAATCACCCTGAATGAAAATGGTCTGAATGCACCAATCAAAAGACATAGAGTCACTGAATGGATAAAAAAACAAGACCTGTCTATATGCTGCCTACAAGAGACTCACTTCAAACCCAAAGACATACACAGACTAAAAGTAAAGGGATGGAAAAAGATATTTCATGCAACTAATAGGGAGAAAAAAGCAGGTGTTGTAGTACTTGTATCACACAAAATAGACTTTAAAACAAAGAAAGTCATAAGAGACAAAAAAGGACATTACATAATAATAAAGGGGTCAATGCAACAAGAAGATATAACCATTATAAATATCTATGTGCCCAACACAGGAGCACATACATATGTGAAACAAATACTAACAGAATTAAAAGGGGACACAGAATGCAATACATTCATTCTAGGAGACTTCAACACTCTACTCACTCCAAAGGACAGATCAACCAGACAGAAAATAAGTAAAGAGACAGAGAACAACACATTAGAACAGATGCACCTAACAGACATCTACAGAACTCTTCACCTAAAAGCAGCAGGGTACACTTTCTTCTCAAGTGCACATGGAACATTTTTAAGACTACATCATATACTAGGTCACAAAAAGAGCCTAGGTAAAGTCAAAAAGATAGAAATTGTACCAACCAGCTTCTCTGAACACAACAGTATGAAACTAGAAATAGATTATGCAAAGAAAATGAAAAAGCCCACTAACACATGGAGGCTTCACAACATGCTCCTAAATAACCAATGGATCAATGACCTAATAAAAACAGACATCAAGCAATATACGGAGACAAATGACAATAATAATTCAATACCGCAAAAATCTGTGGGACGCAGCAAAGGCCATGCTAAGAGGGAAGTATACTGCAATATAGGACAACCTCAGGAAAGAACAATAATCTCATATGAACAGTCTAAACTCACAATTAACTAAACTAGAAAAAGAGGAACAAATGAGGCCCAAAGTCAGTAGAAGGAGGTACAGAATGAAGATTAGAGCAGAAATAAATAAAATTGAGAATAATAAAAACAAACAGAAAGAATCAATGAAACCAGGAGATGGTTCTTTGAGAAAATAAACAGAATCGATAAACCTCCAGCCAGACTTATCAAGAAAAAAAGAGAGTCTAAACACATAAAGAGAATCAGAAATGAGAAATGAAAAATCACTACTGACACCACAGAAAGACAAAGAATTATTAGAGAATACTATGAAAAATTATACGCTAACAAACTGTATATCCTAGAAGAAATGGACAACTTTCTAGAAAAATACAACCTTCCAAGGCTGATCCAGAAAGAAACAGAAAATCTGAACAGACCAATTACTAGCAACGAAATTGAACTAGTAATCAAAAAACTACCTAAGAACAAAACACCATACCAAATGGCTTCACCACTGAATTTTATCAAACATTTAGTGAAGACCTAATACCCATTTTCCTTAAAGTTTTCCAAAAAGTAGAAGAGGAAACTCATTCTATGAGGCCAGCATCATCACCCTAATACCAAAACCAGGCAAAGACACCACAAAAAAAGAAAATTACAGACCAATATCCCTGATGAACAGAGATGCAAAAATACTCAACAAAATATTAGCAAACCAAATTCAAAAATACATGAAAAAGATCATCCATCATGATCAAGTAGGATTTATTCCAGGGAAGCAAGGATGGTACAACATTCGAAAATTCATCCACATCATCCACCACATCAACAAAATCAAGGACAAAAACCACATGATCATCTCCACAGATGCCGAAAAAACATTCAACAAAATTTAACATCCATTCATGATAAAAACTCTCAAAACAATGGGTATAGAGGGCAAGTACCTCAATATAATAAAGGCCATATATGACAAACCCAAAGCCAACATCATACTTAACAGCAAGAAGCTGAAAACCTTTCCTTTAAGATCGGGAACAAGACAAGGATGCACACTCTCTCCACTTTTATTCAACATAGTTCTGGAGGTCCTAGCCACAACAATTAGACAACACAAAGAAATAAAGGGCATCCAGATTCATAAGGAAGAAGTTGAACTGTCACTGTTTGCAGATGACATGATATTGTACATAAAAAACCCTGAAGAATCCACTCCAAGACTACTAGATCTAATATCTGAATTCAGCAAAGTTGCAGGATACAAAATTAATACACAGAAATCTGTTGCATTCATACACACTAATGATGAACTAGCAGAAAGAGAAATCAGAAAAAACAATTCCATTCACAATCACATCAAAAAGAATAAAATATCTAGGAATAAACCTAACCAAGTGAAAGACCTATACTGTGAAAAGTACAAGACACTCATGAGAGAAAGTGAAGAAGATACCAATAAATGGAAACACATCCTGTGCTCATGGATAGGAAGAATTAATATTGTCAAAATGGCCATCCTGCCTAAAGCACTCTACAGATTCAAAGCAATCCCTATCAAAATACCAACAGCATTCTTCAACAAACTAGAACAAATAGTTCTAAAATTTATATGAAGATCCCGAATAGCCAAAGCAATCCTGTGAAGGAAGAATAAAGCAGGGGGGATTACGCTTCCTGACTTCAAGCTCTACTACAAAGTCACAAAGTAATCAAGACAATTTGCATAAAGCATGGAACAGACTAGAGAGCCCAGATATAAACCCATGCATATATGGTCAATTACTATACGATAAAGGAGCCATGGACTTACAAATGGGGAAATGACAGCCTCTTCAACAACTGATGTTGGCAAAACTGGACAGCTACATGTAGGAGAATGAAACTGGATTACTGCCTACCCCATACACAAAAGTAAACTTGAAATGGATCAAAGACCTGAATGTAAGTCATGAAACCATAAAACTCTTAGAAGACAACATAGGCAAAAATCTCCTGAATATAAACATGAACAACTTCTTCCTGAATGCATCTCCTCGAGCACGGGAAACAAAAGCAAAAATGAACACATGACACTACAACAAACTAAAAAGCTTCTGTACAGCAAAGGACACCATCAGTAGAACAAAAAGACATCCTACAGTATGGGAGAATATATTTGTAAATGACATATCCGACAAGGGGTTAACATCCAAAATATATGAAGAACTCACATGCCTAAACACCCAAAAAGCAAATAACCCAATTAAAAAATGGGCAGAGGATATGAACAGACACTTCTCCAAAGAAGAAATTCAGATGACCAACAGATACATGAAAAGATGCTCCACATCACTAATTATCAGGAAAATGCAAATTAAAACCACAATGAGATATCACTTAACATCAGTTAGGATGGCCAGTATCGAAAAGACTAAGAACAACAAATGCTGGCGAGGATGTGGAGAAAGGGGAACCCTCCTACACTGCTGGTGGGAATATAAGCTAGTTCAGCCATTGTAGAAAGCAACATGGAGGTTCCTCAAAAAACTAAAAATAGAAATACCATTTGACCCAGGAATTCCACTCCTAGGAATTAACCCAAAGAATATAATTTCTCAGATTCAAAAGACATATGCACCCCTATGTTTACTGCAACACTACTTACAATAGCCAAGATATGGAAGCAACCTAAGTGTCCATCAGTAGATGAGTAGATAAAGAAGAGGTGGTACATATACACAATGGAATACTATTCAGCCATAAGAAAGAAACAAATCCTACCATTTGCAACAACATGATGGAGCTGGAGGACAATATGTTCAGTGAAATAAGCCAGGCAGATAAAGACAAGTACCAAATGATTTCCCTCATTTGTGGAATATAACAATGAAGCAAAACTGAAGGAACAAAACAGCAACAGACTCACAGACTCCCAAGAAGGGACTAATGGTTACTAAAGGGGAGAGATGAAGGAGGGTGGGTGGAGAGGGAGGGAGAAAGGGACTGAGGGGTATTATGATTGGCACATATGGTGTGGGGGGGGATCATGGGGAAGACAGTGCAGCACAGAGAAGGCAAATACTGACTCTGTGGCATCTTAGTATACTGATGGGCAGTGAATACAATGGGGTATGCAGGGGACACAATAATATGGGTGAATGTAGTAACCACATGGTTTTTTCATGTGAAACCTTCATAAGAATGTATATCAATAATACCTTAATAAAAAAAAAGAAATTATAGCAAGTACTAATTCAATTTAAAAATTGAGAATATGTATTCCTGAAAAAGGGGAGAGAACTAAGTATTTATAAAATACAACTTGAAGGACAACCTAACAAATCATTTCTTTTCAATTTATTAAAAAATTTTATTTCCTGTGACTTTACAGCAAGTTCATTTTGATTTTATATGTTGAATGAGAATTAAAAGAAAAATCCTATTTCCACTATATCAAATATACAAAAGCTCTGTGGAGGTGGGGTAGAGACCAAGTAAGAAGACCCTACCTCCATCATTACTAATTTATCAGGATACGCCAGATCTCCAGGAGCTGGTTTGTAGCCCATGATGTCTGTCTGAATGTAGATGTGGGTTCGGTAGACAAGTCGCTCTTGTACATCTTCCAACATTTGTTTTACTCCAGCTGCAAATGCTCCCAGTTGTTCAGCTGATTAAAAAAGTGCAGTAATTCTTTTAGATTTAGAAAATTACTTTCTTTGAACTAGCAAAAATATTACTACATTGTCTAGTAATAGTATGAACAAATTTGGCTTCAGGGACTGTAGTTGTATTCTCTTTCAGTATGATTCAATGACCTTAGAAAAACTTAATGAACATCTTTCAATTTCCTCAAATTTAAAACTGAGGAATAAATTTCCACTTATACCTTTCCTCCTGGGACTCTATGAAATTATTTCTACTATTAATATGAATAATAAAATATGCTTTAAGCTATTATTAATAAAGAGTGCTTTAAGCTTTTTAACATTTATCTCATATTGCTTCAGACCAATCCTGAGAGACAACTAAGGCAGCTTATTAATTGGGTAATCATCCCCATTTGACAAATAAATTGAATCCCACAGATATTAATGACTTGTTAATGAAAAACTTGTTAACATTTTCACAAAGAAAGATGAGTAAAAATATGAGATATGAGCTTATACAGAGCATCTTCATTTCTAAGATGCCATCGATGCTAAGACACACCAGTAATTCAGTAACAGCTTTCCAAAAGCTGAGAGTCAGAAACAACTACTCAATCGTATAAATACTCACATTAATTTTTAAAATCATCTTTAATTTGGAGGCCTTAAAATGTGTCTCTTAGAATGAACTAAAAGCAATGGAATAAGAAACTTGGGAAGAGTAACAAACCTGTGGAAAGAGTGTTTCCTAAGGAAAGTCAAAGTGAGGACAATAACCTCTGCCAGTAAAATGACAACTTGAAGGGTATTTTTTTAAAGTACCTAAGTATCATTAAGAAAATCATGTTTGCTATGACAAATCTAATATTGAGGAATATATTACATGGATAAAGTAGAGCTTTCCATAGAATTTCTTTTATTTCTAATTTCAAAAAAGATGAATCATTACTATGTACACATACTAAAATAATTCCTGTTTTTTAGTCAAAAGTATGCAATATAGTTAATTACTTTATGTATTCTGGTAACAGTATACTAGGAATGCCTAACCCAAAACTGATAGTTCTCTCTGGATTTCAAATGCCAGAAAGAAAAGTTAACTATAATGGTATTATTACTAATTTTTCCTAGATTGTAAATTTCTTTCCCCATTTAATTTATACCTTTAGTCAAAGAATAAGGTACATCTTGATTCAAAAGTGGACAAAGCATCAACCTAGGCATCAAAAATATTAAATTTATAGGTAGTGGGGAGGGGGAGAAGGAACTAATCTTTTCCAAATTCACTGAATCCCAGATATAAGTTAAAAGACCTTTGAAAATGATCACTTCTGATTATCGTTTACCATTGTTCTGCACATGATCTTCAAGCACCTCATTTTTAAGAATCCCACAAAGTTCCGATAGAGTCTCTAAATGAATAACATGAATGATCAATGGTCTGAAGACATCATACAATGAAACACACAGTTTCTCCAAAAGTTCACTAAAATGAAAGAATAAAATAAGGGTATTAGCAGTAATCTTTTCAGGACTTTCTAATAGTTTAAAAGGCCATCTCTGATTTCTTCTAGCCAATAAAAATATTAAAAATCTACTGGAAAATAGTAAGTAGGAATATTATATAATGAGAAGTGAAAGGTTAAAAGTAATTCTGTAAACTGTTTTTGCTGTAAAAGCTCAAAATCAATAAGCAAGCCTCAGCAGACAATTCAAATTAGCTGCCCCCAGCCAAATGTCAATTTATTACAACTTTTCCTTATTTCAGCAATAATTCTGTACATGTCCTTTCAAAGCAATGAAAAATATTTCAATAGACTTAATTATCCTTTGATATTCTACATCACTGTGGCTCAAATAGCAACATTCTTCTCAGGAAAGAGTTTCAGAATTTTTGAATACTTACAGATTTCAATAAACAAAACTCAAAGTACTTTAACAATTACAAGTATTTTGACAATTTAAAGTAATTGAAAAGAAAAATTAGGATGTCTATATTTCTCCATATTGTCAAAAGTACTCTTCTACATATAGTATTTCATCAAAAATGAGCAACCCAGTCAAAACCATATGACACATTTGTCTCTTCCCCATTACCAGAAGCACTATCTTGGAATCTTTCTAAGAGTCAAAATTGACAACAAAACTAACAAAACTGAGGATCAGAAAGACAATTTGAGAAAAATAAGGAAAAGGATATTAAATAGTGTCTATATTTTTAAATGTCTTTCATTAGAGTCATAGAATTTTTTAACTAGGAGGAATTATTATACTTAGTGGAGATAAAGGGATCTAGTTCATATATACTGCATAGGGATATAGTGTGTGTGTGTGTGTGTGTATATATATATGTTAAATATACATATAATTAGATATAAGTACATATAACTAGACATGTGTGTGTGTATATATATACATACATAGATATATGTGTGTGTATACACACACACATAACCATAAGGGATATGGTTTATTCCCAAGACTTATTTCCCTACACAGGATTCTTACTATCATATCATATCACCTCCGTAATTGTTATAATATGACAGCATGTTAGCCTTTAAACTGCACAATTTTAAAATAACCACTCTCCCACCCAATAATATTCTGTTCACATACCTGCAAAGGTAAAACTCTACAGTTAATTTTAGAATACTCCTAAAATATAATAAGCCATTACGATCATTAACAAATTAAATCTTAAAAACAAGTGTTAGACTCCATGTACCACCTACTCTAATTTTGACGTTGGTTTTGTGAAAAATTCATTGTAAAGCTGGTGCTCGTCCTGACATACATGGACCATAAAGGCACAGCCACTGCGAATCTGCAGGAAATAAACAACACCACCTACAGTTAAAGACACACAATTCACTGTTGATAAAATAAAGCAAATATTTTTTTAGCAGAGAGATTATGCATATATATTTATAACAACTTATTTAAGAATAGAAAATGTTTAGTTTTTAATGGTTTACTATATAATGTGAATAAGGGTGATTTTTATTTTCTTATGATTTATTTTCTAAACTTTTGATAATGAAAGTAAATTTCTAGTTGAAAAGGAGGTATTTTAAAAAGGAATACTTTTTTCTATAATATGAATTAAAAATCACACTAAACAAAAATGCCCTTCTGTAGGAAAAACAAAGATTAAGTTGTCAATATAAATTCACAAACTGAAACTTCATCTTTCAAGGAACAACACTTTTCTTTGTATCTCAGAAAAATACATCAAAATGAGAATATTTTGCCAAGGTGAATGCCAATTACTAAATTAGATTTATAATAACTGAAAGAAAAATTCTTTAAGTTTGTTGATATAGAAACCAAACTTATTCACCCATGCATAGCTTCTAGGGTACCCAAATATTTTGAAGAAAGGTTTAACATAAAACCAAAACAATCAGAAACTTACCAAGGCACAATGATCTCTATTATTCTGGCTGGTTAACTCTGTTACAGTACAAGTAATACTAGGGCCCAAAAGGAGCTCCCGCTGATCAAGGTAACACTGGTGGATGTCATTTAACAGTTGTTGGTATCTGATGAAAAGCAAATGAGATTGAAGTATAAACTTCTTATTTCAGATATATAAATTAAATCTAATCTTAAATCTCAGAATGGATTGCCAAACTTCTAAAGCTATATGGTTACTTCTCATTTGCCTGCACTAAATACTAGAAATTTATGTGCATAAAGGAAAAACAAACCATAATTAACTATAATGCTGTAACACAAACACTGTATAAGGATGTAGTATATATACAACTATATATAAGCATACATACTATATATAAATATATGTATAATATAAGGGATATAATTTACCCCAAGACTAAGTTATCTTTTAAAGAAAGATTTATCTTCCTAGAGATCTTATATCTATCCAAATAAAAAGTTAATCCTGCTATGGGAAGAGTGCCTTGCAAACTCACTAAATCAGGTCTACGACCTTACTGCCCAATATAAGTTTTATGCTAAAAGAAAAAGCTTGCATAGTATGCAAGGTAATTGCTCAGAAAATACCAGGGGCATAACAGAAAAATGGCGCTTCAAGAGGAAGGTAAGTTGAAAACTGAAGAACTTCTAGGTACTCACTCAGGTATTTTTTCAGATCGTTGCTCTATTTGTTCAATAAGAGTCTACAGAATAAAGAAAAATATATTAAAAATCCAGCTATTTTAGTTATACTTCTAATTATTTTCTGGTTGTAAGTAACATGTGCTAATATTAGAAAATTTGTAGATACAAAAAAGTTGAAATGTAAAAATAAACTAAACCACCACAAAATAATCACAATATAGTTACTACATTTTTCTTTTTAAAGAAAACTGGAGTTACAACTATACATTCAGCTTTTTGCATATTATACTATATATACAATTATACTGAAAAATCTTCTTTTGGGAAATTAACATTTCAAAATATTTTCCTATTACTATTAATTCTCAATACAGATGAAAATGTATAGAAAGCCTTAGTATAGTGCCTGGCACCTAGAAAAAACTCAATGAATCATTATAAATACTGTTTCAAACACTACTTAAACAGCCACCTAATAGCCCCTTGGATAAAGTCAACCATTCTTCTACTGTTAGACATCTAGGTTGTTTCCAAATAATAACAGCCCAGAGGTTAACAGTTCTGTGCCTGGAGCAAAACTAGAGGGTCTGAGTGCTGGCTCCCCAATAGCTGTTTGAGTCTAGGAGAGCTGATTTACTTCTCTGAGATTCCAATTTCTACCACGTAAAGCTGGCGTAATAATAGTACCTACTTCCCAGTTGAGAACCCCCAACAGTGGGTCAAAAGAGAAAAATATTTCTAGAGGTTTCTGATCCATTCTTCTAAAACATTTTGGAGAAAGTAATCAATTTACACCCCTATCAGCACTATTGCCTGTCTCACCAAATCCTCAAAAGCACTATTATACTTTAATTCTGCCTATTTCTAACAGACAAAGAAAATGCCATCTAACCTTAAATTGCATGTATATTCTCTATCAAGGCTACACATGTACTCCTATTTATTAACCATTTGTATCCTCTATGAGTAATCTGGTTATTTATGTATTAGACATGCATCTTTCTTACTGACTTATATGCACTCAGTAGATTAAAAATACTGACCTCACTTATCTGTTGTAAACATTCTCTCCAGTTTCTGCCTTTTCCTTTGCTGTTTAAAATTCAGAAAATGTGATTTTTATACCCTTACTCTTTTATTCTATAATTTTTTTCCTAATACTTTCTTCTAGAGTTTTTATTTTTGCTTTTTGGTCTGCTTATCATTTTGCATAGTAATGTATTGTGGTAATGTTATAAACTGAAGAGCTTACTTTTTTTTCCAAATCCTAGCAAATTTTTCCAATGCCATGTACAAAACTTCAGCCCTTTCTCTTTGATTTGAGGACATTCTATATATACTAAGTTTTAGAATTTTCCTTTCCTATTATCCACCAGTGAATTCTTGTATTTTTCAAATTTTTCTTATTTAGTCTTGCTTATGTACTACACCAATGAATTTTAGAATCATCAAAAAAAAACTTCCATTGGAATTTCTGCTAAAATTACACTTAACAATTAAATTACATTAGGAGGAACTGACATTTTAAAAATTAAGTCTCCTAAACTAGGAACAATAAAGCCATATTTATTCACTCTTTTATGATTCTCTGTCTGGTTTTGTTTTCTTCATCTTTCTATTTCCATTAAGGTTATTTCTAGGTAAGTATTTTATGCTTTCTGTCCCTAATATGGGACCCTAGCGCATATACTAATTGGTTACCACTGGCAAACGGCATGTGGGAAAGCCACTGAAAATTTTATCATCATTTTATAGTCAACTACCATACTGAGCCCTCTAATCTATACCATTTCTTTTCTAGTCAAATTTTTATCATTGGTATTTGACTAATAAGCAAAAGCAACCAAACAGCACAAACCTCATACAATCAATGAACCACTCTTTTCTTGTATCTTCTATAAACAAGACCAAATTTCTCTTATTTCATAAAACAAAAAATTCCTTTATCCTCTATAAACAAGACCAAGTTTCTCTTATTTCATAAAACAAAAAATTCCTTTCAACTGACTTTCAAGAGGGAAACAAGGATAGGAGTGAGGAGTGTGAGATCAGAATCAGTAAAAGGAAACTATTCTCCCTAGTAATTTCACAATGAGTAGAAAAAGATACATGTACTAGCTCTAGTCAACTGTAACTTGGGTATGTTATTAAATACATAAATATGTAACACATATATCTACTCTGCATCTTTTTCATTTTCAATCATTCAATAACGGCAAATACTCTGTGCATCATTCCTTTATGATCCAGACACTGTGCTAAGGCAAGTAAATAAGACACCTGTTCTCAACCTCATGGAATACACTACCAATGCCTTAGTTCACCCTTTTTCTCACCTGGACTACTGTAAAATCTTCTTTGTAAAAATCAGGCCTCCTGGTCTCAAGCCTCTGTTAACCATAATCTCTTCTTTTTTTTCTTTTATTGATGTGTAGCTGATAAACCATATATTGGTCATAACCCATTCCTTATACTGCATCATTAATCTTATGACTCTTACAATCTTACAAATCTTCATACTGTATCATTAGTCTTATGGAATGACATATCTGTCCAAATCACTCCCCTTCAAAATATTTCACTGGTTCTCCACTTTTCCTGAATTAGTATGACATTAGCCTTTGCCATCTTTCTTGCCCTTTATCCCATCCTGCTAATGCCCCATGCTCTGGACAAAGCAAGTTATGCAAAGTTCTCTGAAAATACATGACGTTTATGTCTCTACAACCTTCCTTAACAATCCCCTCGAGTCCACTATAAAGTTGAACTTTTTAATCTCCTGTATCACCTTCACCTAGAAGCCTTCCTCAGACATGATGGGAAAAGCTAGGTGTTTTCTGTCTGTGGTTTTAAAGCACAGCTAATATACACTGCTATAATGTGGAAAGACAGTGCCCACCTTTCATTCAAGGCCATTTTCCTGGTATAAGCAAAAGGCCTAACATACAGTAGTACTTCAAAAGGGCTGGTTGAATAAATTTCATAGTAATGTCCTATTTGTGTCAGTAGACTTACTCTGACTTTGGGAGCAGCAGCTCGAAATTTCACATAAAATAGTGTGAAGGCATTGTCTGCATTAGGTACCAATGAGGGATCCTAAAGAAACATGGGAGAGGATAGGGAAGGAAGATAATTAGCAAACAAATAATTATTCAGAAAATATGACACAAACCACTTCAAACAGTTACAACTGGTCTATACACCAACCAAAAGCTTAAGAGAGAAAAATCTCAAAGAAAGATGAAATATTATTTAGTTTTTTATTAAACATTGCTACAAATAGGAAATAACTGTGTAGAGCTGTCATCTCTCTCATCTTTATAATTAAAATGTACCCTATGTTACATGAATTTCAGTGGTTAACAGATCTGAATGCAGATTTATACTCGGCCACTTCTGGAGTGTAAGCTACTGGCCAAACTGCTTAACCTCTCTGAGATTCAGTGCATCTATTAAATGGGGATAGTATATACTCATAAGGTTTTATACAGCTCAATAGTAAAGCATTAGCATGTACGAGGTGCTATTATTAGGTATTAGTTTCCTAAACATTTCAAATTTTTACAGAGTAGAAAAATTAAATAGTCTAGCCTTTACATCAGCTAAGAGCAATGTGAATGGCAAAATGCAACCCAAACATCAGTGGCTCTGAACTGAAAGCTCAAGAACACATTCTATGTCATTTGGAAAATAAGCTTAAAAATAAAATGCATAATCTGCTGCATCCGTGGATGTTTTATTGCCCTTGTCTAGCTTGGATTAACACATAGTCTACAGGCACACACCTGATCATCTACATTTGCTCTCTTACAACACTAAAAACTATGTTTTCTACCTTTATCTTGCATCTACCTACCACTTCAGCATTTTATTAAAAATAATAATAATAAAGAGAGAAATGTGGTATCCACATATAAATCAAGTATAAAAATCAAACGAATATTCATATTTGAACTGTTTATAGTTCATAATGCATGATCAAAACCGAAAGTTTCTGTGATGACTGCCCTTGTACTATTCACCATGTAACTTATTCACTATGTAAGAATTTGTTCTCCATGTAAGAACTTGTTCGTTATGCTTCAGAAGATTGGAGACTGACGAAAATTAGGCTTGGGGTGGATTAATGATTATACATTGAGCATTGAGTCCCCTATACAGAATTTTATTGTTGTTAACAACCACTTGATCAAAAAAAATAGGAGAGATGCCCTCACAAAAAAAATAAATAAATAAATAAATAAATAAAGTACACACTTCCAATTGTAAAATAAATAAGTAAGTAACCGGGATGTAATGTATAGCATAAGGAATATAGTCAAAATATTGTGACAACTTGGTATGGTGATAGCTGGTACCTAGAATTATCATGTATATAAATGTTCAATCACTGTGTTGTACACCTGAAACTAATATAATACTGTATGTCAACTACCCTTCAATAAAAAATAATTATCTAAAAAATAATAATAATAAAATGCATAATCTCTAAGGTCTTATTTTCTTACAAAAGAAATGTGCTCAGTGACTGTTTCTAACCTAACACTCTGTTAATTTTCTACCTAGAATCTACTATAATCTGTAATTGATAAATTTGCTTGTTTCCTTCTTTATTGATTACTTCTCCTGAATATAATGAGGGCAGGGACTTTACTAGTTCCCTTTCACTATAATAAAGGTCCTAGTACAATGCCAAACATTTAAGAGGCACTCAATATAAATATGTTTGCTAAATACAGAAACTTAAATTATCCATCAAATATAAAGAAAAGAATTCAAATTATCCATCACATATAATACCACCACTCAGACAGAACCATTTTTACTATTTTGGTGCATTTCCTTCCAATATATTCATGAAAAAGATAAAAAAAGGAAATGTCTTAAGTGACAAACAGTTTGAATCTTATTTTATTATTTATCATATAGTACTGAATGCCTCTCCAACTGTTAAATATTCTTTGGAAGTACGACTCTAAAGGACAGATATAATAGTGCCATTTTTTTCCTATTATTAAATAAAATTGCAATGCATATTCTTATTCAACAAAAGGTAAAAAAGTTTTTGGAGTTACTAAGCACTAATCTCACAGTAAGATTATGGAAGATAAATTAATTTTTAAAAACCCAGCAAACAAAAAAACCACTTCACCAGTTAACTCACCCTTTTTAATAACTGACTTGTCAGATTCTGTAGTGTGTTCACAGTGTATGTCTTCATTAGGTGCAAAGCTTTAGAAAGACATTGCTTAAATTTTAGTAAATATACAGAATAATCTTTAAAATTCGGCTGTAAAGGAAAGGGAAACATTTACAAAGAGGAAACAAACATTGACAAAGCAAACCATGAAAACCTAAGTGTCCTTTGTATAGCTACATATAAAGGTCAAAAGAAATTCTCCTGTAGATCATAAGCAACATGAAGATGAATACAGCTATCCCTAAATTCGCTTTACACCACTTCACTTGTACAGACCTATGTTAGTATCTGTTTTCGCTAACCAAAAGAAATCCAAACAGGATTTTCGCTTTTAGGAAATGGTTATTGCTGCTTCACTTTATGCCACTTTGGCTTATGAAAGGTTTCAGAGGAATGCTCTATTTTCAGATAGTGCGGGAAACCCATACAGCTATAAATTCTTGGGGGATAAAAGTGAGGGCTATTAAATCAAAGGACTTGTCCTTTACTTCCCCCCAAGTAACAGTATTTTTACAAAGGTATCATACACAATCGGAACTCAACAGTCGAAAAATCCCTCTTCCTTTTAGATGGAAAAAAACTGTGTCAGCCAGGACCTTTCTACTCCAGGGCCTGCCTCAGCAGCTGAAAATACTACTGACAGTGACTGAGAATGTACTATAGATTTTCTTCAAGAATATTCAGGTATAGTTTTCCCTTCAGAAGAGATAATTACTTTAGGAAGTGAATTAATAGGGATGTTATGATTTCTTAAAAACATACAGAAATACCATGACTTACATGAGATGAGATATATGTTATACAATCATCTAACTTGGACAGCATAGGTATAAATCCTTCACTATTGACAGACAGTGTAGGAGAATTCAATTTCTTTAAAGGAAAAAGATAAACAAATCAATTCACAAGAATATAGGTAAAAAAGTTGAAAATTGTGTATTACAATTAGCATATTTCCCTTTAAGGTATAACACTGTTATACTAGTATCTATAGTCTAACAGTCACCAAAATATCCTCAAATATAGCCCATGTGCAACAACAGAGAAAGAACAAATAAAAAAGAAAACTGATTTAATTCAATTTGTTCCTTATGAGCTTTAATGGGGCTTTTCATGAATTAGCAAATATTTTTAATTACTCCATTGTACAATGCTATATTAATTTAACACATTAAATACCTAGATTTCCTACTTTCTAGTACTTTATAACATACAAATATTTTCCACCTTTAAACACTAACGATTTTTTCAAAGTTAAAGGACTAATTAGCAATCATACTAAGTTTAGCAGTCTAAACCCAGTATAACAAGCAATCATACTAAGTTGACTATGAAAGTGAAATAGATATAAGTAAAAATAAGTAAACATATATAACTAAATATATAAAAATTAATAATGTTGCATATAAGTGATATGTAACAATATACAAAATTACATATTAAAATACATAAGCTATATAATAAAGTCCTTAATGCAAGTAATATATATATATAAAATATAAGTAAAACAAGATAATTATCTTGATATACAAGTAACTTGGCAATGAACTATTTCCCATTGCATTCCATTGTTAACTGGCTACTAATTTTACTTTTATCTCTTTAGAAAACTGTAATAATTGTGATTAATTTAACAATTTTCATGACTTATATGAGGTTGTTATTATTAATTTATGAGCCAGGAACACACAGAAATGTAATTTACATAGCAGTCTTCATTGAAACTATTACTTTGGGATACAAGTATGCATTTTGAGTGCTATACTTTTCCTCAAACTAAACATGAGATTAGTTTTAAAATGTTTGATTACTAATATAGTATAATGAGCACAGCCAAGATTAAAAATGTAATAGTTCTTAAAATCTTCTTCACAGTTTACAAATAAGATACTATAAGAGGTACCAACAAATATGATTTAAGTAATAGTTCTTAACTTGTATTATTGTTATTAAAATCATATTTGAAAAAATCTGAACTGGTAGTTATCTGAGTATCAGCAAGAAAACTATTAAGCTGAAGTATCACTCAAGCCAATTTATAAGTTTAAAGATGGTATTCAGAAAGGGAAATACTAAATAAAGTCACTAGTGTTATAAAAAGTAAAAAAACATGCTTACTGTGTTAATAGTTTCCAATTCATTAAAATAGGAAAGCTTCTGTTGAATGTTTTCAGCCAGATCAACAAGTTCCGACTTAGATTTTTAAAAGAGAAAAATCAACTACTGTAAGAATGTAAGAATCAACATTCTAGTCTCAAAATTACATTGAATAGATTTGTATTAAACATATAGGTTTATGTTAGACATAAGATTTCAGAATAATGTTCAACTAAAATAAGCAATGATTATTACAGTAAATCACATATGATATTTTTATAAAATAAAAAGTGACTTCCTATTAAAAAGCACACAAAATACATATAGGAAACTTGGAGATAGCATTTAAATGTTCCATCTTTAAGTCACAAGTTTAAGTGCAATCTAGATCAGTTCATCTTTTCATGAAACCCACCATTACTACCAACACTATGCTTGTTCAAGAAGTGTCAATAATAAAAAGGGAACAGAGCAAACTAATATATCCTCTTCACTCTGAAATTGTACTGAGACCTAACTGCTCAAAATACAGAAAAGTTTGCCTTGCCTCTGTTCACATAAGTTTATTTAAAATAAAAGCAGGCTGTCAGTGCAATAATTTTCATGCTTAGCACAGAGCAGTGTTCAATATATACTTATAGAAACTAAGGAAATTAGAATTAAACTGTATTTATCTATTTAAAATAAAATATTAAATATAATCACTAACACTCTCTCCTCAAAATTACCTGTTCTTTTAGGAGCTGTTCACAGGCTTCATGTAGGGTTCCTGTCTTATTGGACACAAAAAGATACTGTTTCTGCAGTGATTCCAGATGCTGAAGAGCACTGTTTACATCATTCAATATAGCATCACACTGCTCCTGAAACCCAGACAAGTAATCCCTCATCTGCCTAGAAAACAAAACCAAAAAGGATTGGCAATAATATTTTCCCCACAACAAACATAGTCAATAAACAACAAAGTCTCATTTTTTTCCCAAATTCTTCAATTTCAGGAGGAAAGTCTAACCTATTCAGTAAAGTTTATTATATTTAGAAATGTACCAAAGCTATGTTACAAACTGTTTCAAAACTTAAGGAAAACCACTGAAACTATGAACAAGAAAAGGAATCAGCCTTGAAGCTGTAAACTATCTTTTTACATGTAAAGCAATAAATCATGACTCAGCTTTCAAAGTTAAACATATAGGTTTATGTTAGACATAAGATTTCAGAATAATGTTCAACTAAAATAAGCAATGATTATTACAGTAAATCACATATGATATTTTTATAAAATAAAAAGTGACTTCCTATTAAAAAGCACACAAAATACATATAGAAAACTTGGAGATAGCATTTAAATGTTCCATCTTTAAGTCACAAGTTTAAGTGCAATCTAGATCAGTTCATCTTTTCATGAAACCCACCATTACTACCAACACTATGCTTGTTCAAGAAGTGTCAATAATAAAAAGGGAACAGAGCAAACTAATATATCCTCTTCACTCTGAAATTGTACTGAGACCTAACTGCTCAAAATACAGAAAAGTTTGCCTTGCCTCTGTTCACATAAGTTTATTTAAAATAAAAGCAGGCTGTCAGTGCAATAATTTTCATGCTTAGCACAGAGCAGTGTTCAATATATACTTATAGAAACTAAGGAAATTAGAATTAAACTGTATTTATCTATTTAAAATAAAATATTAAATATAATCACTAACACTCTCTCCTCAAAATTACCTGTTCTTTTAGGAGCTGTTCACAGGCTTCATGTAGGGTTCCTGTCTTATTGGACACAAAAAGATACTGTTTCTGCAGTGATTCCAGATGCTGAAGAGCACTGTTTACATCATTCAATATAGCATCACACTGCTCCTGAAACCCAGACAAGTAATCCCTCATCTGCCTAGAAAACAAAACCAAAAAGGATTGGCAATAATATTTTCCCCACAACAAACATAGTCAATAAACAACAAAGTCTCATTTTTTTCCCAAATTCTTCAATTTCAGGAGGAAAGTCTAACCTATTCAGTAAAGTTTATTATATTTAGAAATGTACCAAAGCTATGTTACAAACTGTTTCAAAACTTAAGGAAAACCACTGAAACTATGAACAAGAAAAGGAATCAGCCTTGAAGCTGTAAACTATCTTTTTACATGTAAAGCAATAAATCATGACTCAGCTTTCAAAGACTAGAAAGAGGGCCATCCCAAGGTAAAAAGTAGGTAGACCCTTCAGGTCATTTCTGCCTTTGAGAGATGGGGCAATATGGAAAGAATTCTGGACTTGGAATTAAAAGACCTGAGTGCAAGTCCCAGACCTGTCCAAGTCTCTATGACATTTGGCATGTTACTTATTGTTTCCAGGCCTCCTTTCGCTTATTTGTAAAATGGGAATAATAACATCCTTTCTCAACTATGAAAATTAAATGGAATCATACATCAAAAAGCTTAACACAAAGCCTAGTGATAACAGTCTCTTAATAAATGTTAAATGAATGCAAATGCTCAACCCACAGTCCCCAAATCAGCTAAAAACTGTATACCAATCATTTCTCCAATGCTATCAATATACAAGTTACACCCAATCTAGGTGGCCATCCCTGAAGTTTCTAGGGTCTCTCCTTCTAAAGAAAGGAAGCAAACACCTCTTAGAGTTCCTACAAAATTTCCAGCTGAACCCAAACCTTTCTAGAGTTTACCTAAAAACCAACGTCTATCCCTTCTAACTTATTAAATTATGATGTCATTTTTTTAAAAAAATCACATAACTTCCAATACCATTTGTAATGACCCAAATCCTTTCTGTCTTTTCTTTAAAAAAATGTTGCTGTTGGAGTTTTCTTTGTACATTAATTTTGTTTAAAGATACAGATTATAAAATGCTTCAGATGACTGTGATGCAAAAATTGGGATAGCCAACAAACCCAAGAGCCACATACCTGTATTTAGTTTCTTCATCCTGATTCATCTGAGTTTGTAATTTTGCAAACAATGAGAAAAACTGGAACAATAAAGAGTATTATATTTTCAACAAAACTAAAACAGACAAAATGAAAAGCGGCTGCAAGTTAAAAAGCAAGTCAGAAGGACAGACCCTATCTAAGTTTTACTATCTGGGCCTCAAACATTAATAATTAGTTTTAAGACCAGAGACGGTAATTTAATTGCATTGTCATTATCTACATTATCTAGAAAACATATTAAAAACATTGGCCATATTCAGAGTCAAGTAAGAAAGCACATTAAAGATAACAATATGTATTCCTAAGAGGTTAATGCCTATTTGCTAGTTTGCCAAATTTGAGTAGTTAACATAAGGCTTTGGGTAAACAGTAATATTAATGTTATCTAGTAAGAAGTATAAGACTATAAAGTCAGAAATAATGTAATAGAGTGAATTAAGAACATGAACTTTTGTATCAGCAAAACCCAGATTTCAATTCTGACCCTCCACCAAATGTCATGAACATATCCACTATTAAAAAGAGGTGGGGGAAGTTGCCTTGAGCATAAGGGAACTTTTTGGGGTAATGGAAATGTTTTATATCTTGATGATAATGGTAATTACACAGGTATAAACAGTTGTCAAAACTCAAGCTACATTTTGTTGTACGTACATTATAATTCAATAATTAGATTTTCATTTAAAGAGAAATACACAGGTGAAAAAAAAGATTTCTTTTTCAAATAGTCCAAATAAGTGCAACACTATCTTCTACAATTCTCGAGTGGGATTTGAAGTCAAGGGTATGCTTTATTTTCTCAACAAACTAGGCTTGCCAAGTACATTAGTTATCATTTCCAGAACATTGATTGTGTGCCTGCCACACACTGCATTTATAAGCACTATCTTATTTAATTCTCAGAAGAATCCTATGAAATAAACAATTATCCTTGTTTTACAGATTAGGAAACTAAAGACCTAAGCCTATAAATAATTTGTTTAAGTGCACAAAGATAGGAAGTGATAGGATGATGTTCAGAACCAGACTGCCTAACTCAAGAGTTAGAGCTCTTAATCACTGTGCAGCAATGACTCTCTCAACTTAACTAACGTGCAATTCAGCACATCTCTTTTTGTTTTACTTGGTAAGTGCCTCAGCTTTGATTCTTCAGGGCAGAAAGAGAACACAGAGAAAAGTGGCAGAAGAAACTGCTTTACATTTAGGTGTATAATTAGGAATAAACAAAAACCAAGAGAAGAGTACACATGCTAAATTACTAAAAAAAATAACTGTAAGTGTTCATTTCAAGAGAGTATTAAGGGTCATAAAAAAAAGATATTACCTAGCAGACACAGACAGGGTGTGTGTGTGTGTGTGTGTGCACACATGCACGTGTAAATGCATGCTGGAGGAGCATGTTAACACAGACATAAACTGGGGCAAGATAAACATGCATACAATAATAGAACCTTAATAAATACAATACTCTTATCAACCTCCAAACTTGGAATACCATATCTTCACCTGTACTGCAAATATAATTGGGCAATAGGTTCATTTAAAGCACTTAAGAAATAGTCACAGCTAACACAAAATCAGGAATGTTCTAGAAAGATTTGACGTTGACTATATTTTCAAATGTTCAGAACTTTTAATTGGGATATTTTTTATTAGCCATCTTGAGACACAACATAATCAAACACCCTTAAAAACAACACTGGCATTCACCTGCTGTGCAGTTTCAATTCTTTCTTCCTTCATTTCTAAAGAAGTGAAACCCTTCAAGAGAATGTCTTCTGTAGATTCAGGTACTACTGAAGTCTGTGCAATGGGCAGCGACTGGGATGTTAAACTGCACAAGTCTTCAATTGGGAGCTTCAAAAGAAAAAGCCACAGTGATATTTAAGTAACTTGAAAATTCTCTGAACTTAACTGATGATTGTCACTCCATCTCAATTGTTTTGAAGAGAAAGAAGTGTTTTCTATTAAGTCATTTAAGGTTAATAAATACCACATAATATTAACATTTTTAACTAGATTTTCTCTATATTAAATATTAGTCTCAAATGTAAACATGACACCAATATCGCATCAAGCAGTAAAGTGCAGCTTTTTTGAGATATCTTTCCAGTACTGATGGTAAATCTACTCATCCACACACATTTTTTCTCTGGAACCTCTTGTGAATTAGCACCAGAAGTGAAAACCCTGTGTGCTGCTAGATTCTGCCCTGCCTGGAATCTAACACAAAAGTTTGGCCTTATATAACCAACAGAAAACAAATCACACCCAAGAATAAATTACAATAAACATTACCTCCCTGTACCATTTCTACTGCTGGCACAGTTCACCCACACCTTCCTGCTGACAAGTTTTGAAATTACAACAGAAAAGAAAGAATTTCAGAGTTTCCCATCAGTGTTGGAAGAATCTCACCTACAAAGCCTCATTTTGACACCTTCAGAAATACTTTCTAGTTCTCCACTACTAAGACAATCTAGCTGTCAATTTACTAGTCACATAAACCATTTTTAGACCTACAAGAAAGGGAGTGTGGATGTTGGGGAAGGGGAAAGAACCTAATTGTTTCAATTCCAGTTCAGCCTTTAGGACATGACATTGAAGGTCCACCTACATGTAAGACCTTGACCCAAGGCCTCAGGAAACTGCCTCACTAATTTTCAACAGAAAATTCATCTAAAGACAGTATTTTCTCTTCAAAGCTAAAATAAGGTAAATGCAAAATGCACCATCACTAATTTAGAAACACAAACCTTTAAATGTAGGTTGTACTGCGTTCAAGTGAGGCTCTACCTCCTGGCATGGTAAGGCACGTTACAGTGGAGCTGATTTGAACCCTGCTCCTGCTAACTTATGAGCTGTATGACAAATGGGCAAATTACCTAATGCTTCTAATTCTCAATTTGTTCTCTATAAAACAGGAATTACAGTATCTGTTATCATGAGGCCATGGTAAAAAAAGGAAAACACAGGTGTGGGGAAACAGGCTTCTTGCATTGCTGGAAAGCTGAAGATAAAAAGTGTCCAGGAAGGTCCTTGATATGCTTCCTCCCCACAAATCAGTCAAAAGCCAGAAGGGTCCTGGTATGTAAATATGTTTTATTAAGGGCATCACTTGTTTACATAAATTCTTCCTACATAACATAATTCCTGAGTCTAAAAAGACTGTGGCGCAGTAAGAATTGAGTTTTTCAAATCTGATGAGAATCTATCTTGAGTCTAAAGTGTCTCCAGCAACTGTGCCAAGTTGTGCCTGCTCCTGCTCTGTGGAGCCACACCAGTTCCCAACAAGCTGTCTGCTTGGACAGGCGAGGTAACTGCCAGAGACAATGCTACATGGATTTGGCATAATGCCTGCTACAGAGTAAACACTCAATAAATTTGAGCTACTGTTACTTACATTATTTATTAACTGCTTCTTGGGAATAAAACAGCCTATAAGCTATATTTATAGTATTTTATTAGTAGTAGAATTCACTTTTATAGGAACAGATAATGACAAAATCCAATCATATAATTCTATCAGCACTGTTTCCACAATACCTAAGGGGGGAAAGGAGAGGGACACATGGATTAGAATCAGATTAGAAAAATATACCAGAAAGCACTTGGAGGGTAGGCCAAAATTTTTTAAAAAGCTGAACAGTGTTGACTTGTATCCTAATAAAAGGAAAAGACTAATAATCTACAAAATCATGACTACTCTTGAATCTACCAGAAAGCTGAGGTTGCAGAGTAACAAAGCAGCTTAATATCTAGGGAAAGATGGGCACCTCTGAAGAGAGAGAGAATGCAATCTCCAGGTTCACCTGCAGTAGATCATGAGAAAAAACAAATGACAATTGTCATATAAGTAGGTAAGAAGAATTCAGCGAAAATTCCTTTCAAACTGCTAAAAGCTAGAATGTAAGTATAGAATGCCTAGAAGCTGCAGACACAAAGGGAGTTTGCACGCACTCCCGTGGTCTTCTCCACAGACCTCCACTAGGTGCTCACGAAAAAATGAGGACAAGGTGGTGCAGGCCTAGAAGAAGAGATGGCTGTGGGAAAGCAGGGCACAAAGCCACATCCAGACCCTTCTTCCCAGTGGAGCAAAATTCTTTAGACCCCGAAACGGCAGCAAACTCTATTAACCCCAAGGCACAGAGGAAGATCCACAGTAGCTCAGGAAGGAAAAAGAAGACTGCCACTGGCCCTGGAGAAAAGAGGGAAGAAACAATCCAAGACCCAGAACATTAGAAGTTCTCCTACCACCAGAGGAGGGCAGACTCAGTGAGAAAGGTTCACCTCCAAGACCCAGGAGCAAATGGCCTGCCTGGGACTGAGGCTGGACTGGGATGATACTCCTGCCCACCACCACCAGGTATAAAGCACCAGCAATCTACTGCTGTGGAAGAGGCAGAACCACAGACAAGACACCCTCCGGGACACAGGTACACAGCACAGCAAATGCTGAAGGTGGAGGAGGAGCGCTAAGAAAATCCTGCAGCAACACAGCCCCAGGGCTAGGCAAAAGGCAACACTAGATATATTTGAAGTCAGTGGTAAACTAAAGATAACCAGAGCAATGACAAACCCTAAACTTAGCTGAACTCCTGAGTAGGCTGATTCAACCCCCCCAACACTCACAATCCAACAGAAGAGGTATACTCATTTCCAGGCATTAATACTATTTTCCTCATTCTTTACTCATTTCCAGGCATTAATACTATTTTCCTCATTCTTTACTGCTCTGTGCATAATGTCCACTAGTCTGTGACTAATAATATGTTAAGGGCTTTGGTATAAAATATAAATAAGATGAATAAACAGATGCAGACTATCAGCAAAAAAATGAAAACCATTAAGTGTCAAACAGAAATGCTAGAAGTGAACATCAATGTAACAGATGAAGTATCTGCAATGGAGGCATCAGCACACTCAACACAGCTAAGGAAGGAATCAGTGAATAAAAATCACCCACAATTAAACATAAAGAAGAAACAGAGTGAGAAAATAAAAACTGAACACAACAACCAAGAACTGTGGGATGGTATCAGATGATCTGATATATGTGTAATTTGAATCCCAAAAGGAGAGAGAGAACAGAGTAGAAGAAATATTTAAGAAAATAATAGTTGACAATTTCCAAAAATAATGAAAAACACCAAACTATAGCTGTGAGAAACTGAGGAATTCAAGCAGAACACAGACAGTTTAGACAAACAAAAACAGTACCAATGTATTATGGGTTTAAAGCACATATAAAAGCAAAATGCATGACAACTGCAGAAAAGAGAGAAAGGAAGAACTGGGAGCATACTGTTGTAAGGCTCTCATACATGAAGCAGTATAGTATGTAAAGCAGACTGTGACTGACTACAGAAATATGTTATAAACCCTAGCATAATCACTTAGAATACTGAAAGCTGGACTTCGCAAAATTCAGTCCTCTAATACCACCTAGACCCATAACTATCTTTAACTCAATTTCTTTTGAGGAAAAAAAGATTATAAATGTATATTAAAAAGTAATGTGAATCAATGTCAAAATACTATAATTTTACAAAGTGAAAAAATAATGTAATAATCATATTCTCCTATCGGAGCTCATGAGGCCTTACACCACATAATTTTGATACCACTTCACAGTATATAACAAATTCCAGATAAAAAGTATAATTCCTCTTGCTCCAGAATCATTTGTAATATACAAAGTAGTCCTTTTGAGCATATTTATTTGACTAGTAATAAATTCACATAGCACAAAATTCAAAGATATTCAGTAAAAAGTCTCCTTCCCCTGGACCCATTCCCCAACCATCCTCTACCCTCTTCAGAGGCTATGAAGAAACTAGGAAACTAGAGCTAATGTTACTAGTTTCTCATGAATCTTTCCTAAGATAACCTATGAATGTACAAAGAAAGTGCACCTTTTTTTTAACCCAAATAAAAATGTATTATACACACCTTGCCCTTTTCATTTAACAGGCAGCATTTCTGTTGTCTCTCAACAGAGTACAACGAAAAGATGGGGTTTATTCTCTTATTTTAAATTCATAAGTCTCTAATTATCATTAAGCTATAATGGGCCCATTATTTGTAAAATCTAAGAAAAGAGAATGATTATTAAAGTGAAAAAGTCTCCCTACTTCCCCTCTTTCGATTCTTCTCCTGTGAAACAATACCACTGATCATAATTAGAGAAATATTCCTAAGAAATTTGAGGATAAAATGAAGAACTTTAAAAATGAAGGAACCAAAGTGATAATTTGCCATTTTTATCAATCTTCTTTTATAGAAATTATTTAAACCACATGTACATAACTCTTCTAAATCCTCAGAAGAGTTAAAATGAAGTTAAATTCTCCCTCACCCCACTTTTAATCAATTTAACCATTTTCAGTATTTTTTATGGCTACTCCACGACTCTGGAAACACAGACTTACGGCATTGTGGTTGAATTCATCAATCTGACATCCTGTCTACTGACTCCCCATTATGTAAAATGAAGAAATGATTACCCTTAATATTTTCTTCTATGTTTACTCAAATTCTGTCACCTATACCATCTTTTTTATTTACACTGTCAAAATTTATAATAGCTAAGTCTTTAGATGGACTTTTTAAATGACAGTACATGCTTCCTGACTTCTATAAATTTACCCAAATTGCAGATTCACTAATACCATCTTTGTTTTCTGCTGTGCCACATAATTATTAATGTCATGTCAAAAGGATCCAAGGGTGTCATATACATATGCTCAGTCTGTCACCTTGAACCAAAAAACATTGTATCTTCTAATTTACTTTAGAAAGTAAAGTCATATGAAAACTCTGGATCATTGAGAAGGTACTATAGATATTCTAAATTTGTAATCTAGATGTTGAAAGTAAATATGATAATTTGAACGTGTGAAAAAGCATTTTATTTGAGTATTTCATGCACAAATTCTACTTTTCAATCATAAGGACTTTTAAATATCAGAAGCAGGCTTCCTGCCCTGTTCCCTTGTTCTCCCTAATACAAAACAACTTTCGGTCAAAGGAGGCAAGGGAGAAGTCACACTGTAACCACTTCTAAGAAATAGTTTTTAAAAGTAAAACAAGTTGCTTTTTAAGAACATAAGAGAAAATACCCCCATTGAGTACATTCAACCCAGTGCCTTCTTTTCCCAGAACACCTGGAATAGAATGACAAATCAAGAAAGGGTGTGGTGGTGGCACAAAATTCCAGGTTCTGACTTATCACTGACTCTTGAGGAGGAAATGACTGAAGGCCTCTGGCTCTCTCACACTGTCCTGGCTTCCAGATGGAGCAGATATTTACCATCACGGAGAGAAGAGCACAGATCTGGGTTCCTAGCCAGCAGTCCGAGAGAGCTATTGTATATTTTATGCAAATGAAGACACTAATATATATTAAATAATAATTACAATAAACTATCAAGCCTTGCCTGATCAGATGAGCAGTACCAGGAAAAAACAAACAAATACACCTCTCTCTCTCAAACTTTACTTTCTGCACAGTTCTGGGTTGGACAAACTTTCATAATCAATCCAATCAATCCATTCCCTAAATGAAACCTGATGCTACTTTCTCTGTTTGGAGCAAACCATTGAAGAGGTACAGATGGAGTCTAAGAACCTTCCTCATGGCACCTAACACCTTCTTACCTTTGGTCTGAGTGACACCTATACTAGCTCAGGATACAAAACTCAAATCTATTCTTTTAAGGTGTTAAACCTGTGGGGGTAAAAAGCACATGCATAACAATACCAGCAGGTAGCTTGCCATGTGCTTTGCATACTGATTTAATTCTCACACTCCCCATGAGATATGTACTATTATAATTCCCATTTTATAAAGAAAACAGGCTTATAAATGTTAAATACTAAGGTTGCTCAGCCTTTAGAAAAACAGTAACAGTAATTCACAGGTAAATTTCAGGTATTTTATCAAGAATTACTAAATTCAGCAGAAAGAAAAAGGCCCTCGCTACTAAAACAATTGCCCTGGCTACAAGAAACCTGTCCACCAGTCCAATATTCTACTGCAAATCCTTTCATCTAACATGAAATAAAAAGGTGTAATTTATTTCCAACATAAGACAGTTCTCCTTCATAAAAGAGAAAAAGCTATTTTCTAAAAAGGACAGCAGCTTTATGGTATTTGCTGAGTTAGCTGGCCTCTTGTTATTCAGCTAAACTTGCCCAGTTTCAGTGGTTCAGGAAGTAATTTATCTCCTGAAAACTGTGAAATACTACAGAAAATCCTTTACAATACAGTTGTTGGACAAAATAAAAATTAAGGCATTCCTTCCAGTGCCAGTGTTAAAGGAGTGGAAACAGGACAAAAAATTCAATTTCCAAGTCTTTCCACTATATTTATAAACAAATGCCTTAGTGAAGGGAAATGAGAGCTGTAGATAGCTGATGAAAATGAGAATGTCCTTCTCAAAGATTCCAGGATGGGTAAATAAAGACTATTTCATTCTCACAGGAATCCAGTACCAAGGCTACAAGTACCAGAAGACGCACACCGAATCCTTGAACTTGTCAAGCGCATCCCCTACCCATGACTTTGGACTATTGACAAATCAAGAAAGGGTGTGGTGGTGGCACAAAATTCCAGGTTCTGACTTATCACTGACTCTTGAGGAGGAAATGACTGAAGGCCTCTGGCTCTCTCACACTGTCCTGGCTTCCAGATGGAGCAGATATTTACCATCACGGAGAGAAGAGCACAGATCTGGGTTCCTAGCCAGCAGTCAGAGAGAGCTATTGTATATTTTATGCAAATGAAGACACTAATATATATTAAATAATAATTACAATAAACTATCAAGCCTTGCCTGATCAGATGAGCAGTACCAGGAAAAAACAAACAAATACACCTCTCTCTCTCAAACTTTACTTTCTGCACAGTTCTGGGTTGGACAAACTTTCATAATCAATCCAATCAATCCATTCCCTAAATGAAACCTGATGCTACTTTCTCTGTTTGGAGCAAACCATTGAAGAGGTACAGATGGAGTCTAAGAACCTTCCTCATGGCACCTAACACCTTCTTACCTTTGGTCTGAGTGACACCTATACTAGCTCAGGATACAAAACTCAAATCTATTCTTTTAAGGTGTTAAACCTGTGGGGGTAAAAAGCACATGCATAACAATACCAGCAGGTAGCTTGCCATGTGCTTTGCATACTGATTTAATTCTCACACTCCCCATGAGATATGTACTATTATAATTCCCATTTTATAAAGAAAACAGGCTTATAAATGTTAAATACTAAGGTTGCTCAGCCTTTAGAAAAACAGTAACAGTAATTCACAGGTAAATTTCAGGTATTTTATCAAGAATTACTAAATTCAGCAGAAAGAAAAAGGCCCTCGCTACTAAAACAATTGCCCTGGCTACAAGAAACCTGTCCACCAGTCCAATATTCTACTGCAAATCCTTTCATCTAACATGAAATAAAAAGGTGTAATTTATTTCCAACATAAGACAGTTCTCCTTCATAAAAGAGAAAAAGCTATTTTCTAAAAAGGACAGCAGCTTTATGGTATTTGCTGAGTTAGCTGGCCTCTTGTTATTCAGCTAAACTTGCCCAGTTTCAGTGGTTCAGGAAGTAATTTATCTCCTGAAAACTGTGAAATACTACAGAAAATCCTTTACAATACAGTTGTTGGACAAAATAAAAATTAAGGCATTCCTTCCAGTGCCAGTGTTAAAGGAGTGGAAACAGGACAAAAAATTCAATTTCCAAGTCTTTCCACTATATTTATAAACAAATGCCTTAGTGAAGGGAAATGAGAGCTGTAGATAGCTGATGAAAATGAGAATGTCCTTCTCAAAGATTCCAGGATGGGTAAATAAAGACTATTTCATTCTCACAGGAATCCAGTACCAAGGCTACAAGTACCAGAAGACGCACACCGAATCCTTGAACTTGTCAAGCGCATCCCCTACCCATGACTTTGGACTACTGTTTTCCTCCAACTGGAAGGTTATTTCTTAGTCTTTGCAAGGCTAGCTTCTTGTTTTCCATCATGAGTTCTCACCTTAGAATGCCACTTTCTTAGGAAAGCTTTCCCTCCTTATCTAAAAGGGCACATCTTACCCCTTTGTATCCCACCAACATGTTTAATTTGCTTTATATCATGCATCACCATCTGAACTTACCTTCTTCATTCATTTTTTTTATTTTGCTATCATTAATATACAATTACATGAGCAACACTGTGGTTACTAGATTCCCCCCATTATCAAGTCCCCACCACATACCCCATTACAGTCATTGTCCATCAGCGTACTTTCTTCATTCATTTTTACATGCTGACCATCAAAATTATTTCAGCTTCATGAGGTTAGAGATATTGTTTTACTTATCTTTCTATTCTCAAATCTTGGCCCAAGGTAGGCACGTAATATATATTAAAAGACTGCATAAGGCTAATGATAGGTATTATATTGCAAAAATACGAAAAAATGGGAGGAAAATGAAAAGATACCATTTACTTCACTCCAAACCCCTTCCTTCATGGTCAATGAAAATAATAATAGCTTATGACACAAGAAAATTAAAACAAATTAGGTTACTTTTCTCATGGACTATGTTCCCCACAGGTGCTGTGATGTCCAAGCATCCTGCTTGGGTAACAGGCCAAACCAATTATAAACAAACTGGAATACGGTATTTACAGAGCAAACAACTTCTATAGTGCAGAGCATAAAAGACTGATAGCAAAGCCAAAGAAATTTCCGCTACTTCTTCATTTACTTCAGACCCACTTCCAGCATAGCATCCTAGAGGCTGACAGAGACCCAAGGCAGAACACCTGTATTCTGTAGCAGAGCACGCCAACAGTGAAAGCGCAGAGTACGTTCAAAGTTCTTAGCTTCTAAAATTTGAGGGTAGGAAAAAAAAAAGGTTAAGTCTCTAAACTCAGTGTGCCTCTGGACCCTGCTAATAAAAATAATCATTGTAAACCTGGCCCTCAAAACTAGTAAAAGTCTGCCAAACACTTGCAATTCATAAAATGTACTTCTTGTTATTACTACTAATTGAATGGAATAACACAGAGGTAATAAGCATAACATACAAATGATAATTAGGATGAAAAACGTTGACACTAAAACCGAAAATGAGCATTACCTGACAATGTACTGACCAAGCTTTCAAGGAAAGTTCATGTTTATCGCTTTGCTATAGATCAATAAATCGGATCTCCCACAACTTGCACTTGATCGGGAGCTCACTGATCAATGTGGGAAGAATGAAACTGTCATTCGGTATCAAGTTTTGGTCTCCCCAAGTGCCCCCACGGAATGAGGTAACTAACTATTCATTAAGGTGGTAAACGAATGCCAACAGCAGGCTCTCCTGAAGCAAAGCACTTCAGGTTCGGTGCCCTCTTTCTGGGAAATCGTGGGCAGCAGGACCATGTCTCGGCGGACAGCAGGGACACCCGGGCAAGACGCCCAGGGCCAAGCTCCCGGCCAACGGCCCCACGCCTCCGGGGGAGAGCTGGGTGCCCTCCAGCACCTGCCACTCGACGCCCCGGCAGCCTTCCCCGCGAGAGGGTTGAATTGGTGGCCGCCGGCAATGGGAGGCCTGACAGTCCGAGAAGGTGAGGGGCCTCTGGCACTGGAGCAGCCACCGAACCCGGGCAGGGGTGACGAGAGACCCAGGTCGGGCGTCTGCAAGGCGGGGTCCGTCCGCGCGTTGGAGGAGCATCCCAGCCCCTCCTCCTCGCCGCCTAGCCTGCTTCCCGCCCGTCACCCCACCTCGGAAGGCACGGGAAGATTCTCCGTCGCCGCCTTCAGCTCCAGCACCGAGTCCGTCTGCCTGTCGGTCAGCGGCGCCGTCGTGTCTGGTCTCCAATCCCAGAGAGCCAGCTTCTCTCGAGCGTCCCACTCCGCCACCGCCTCCGCCATTGCCGCCGCCCCGCGGCCGTCAGCAGCAGCGGGGTTGGGGGGATCCCGACAGCGAGGACCGGGCCACTTCCGGGAGAGCCCGGGCTTCCACACGGCACTGGCAGCGGGGCGGGGCAGAGCGGAATATCGTAACCCGGAAATGCTTCCGCAGAGTGTGGGCGGGACTGAGGTCAGGATAGACGTGGCTTTAAACGCGGTACAAATATTCCGGTTGGGAGGTCGAGGACGACAAAGAACACAGGCCCTGACGGAAAGAAATAGAACTGCCCCTACCGGAAGTCTCTTCCTCAACTTCAATAACTTTATTGTTACGTGGTGTTCACATTATTAACATTTGTGCTAAGCGACTCCGCTGACAGGCCCTCGAGAGCTCCCGGATCTACTCCCTCTATTGGGTAGTCTGGGTGGAATGTGTGGACTGTGATTTATTTGCGTGTCAACGGTCGAGTTTTGACCGCCTAGATTATAAACTTTTCGAACATCCAGTAATTCGACTGTTAGAAAACCAAGTTATGAAAACACATAAAAATTCAAAGATTTATATATATGACATTATTACTAGTACCACATAACGGGAAACAACCTAGATGTCCAATATTGAAGAACTGGATTAATAATTCATGGCATAGATTGTAATGGAAATATAATTCTGCCATTTAAATAATATTGTAGATTTAAGCAACAATAATATGGTATTGGCTCATAACGTACAGATAAAATAAATACCTGTGAGTCCCTGCTGATATACATAAATGATTGAATAAATAAATGGAGAAGAGACAACTCTACCTTACAAAGAATTACAGTCAATAAATGTAGAAAGAATGAGGGAAAGAGTAATAATTGTAGTAAGCAAGATCTAAAAATAAATTCTAAAATTAGTTGGTGAAAGTTTGGGGAGAAACAAATTTGCATTGTGTCAAATGATCTCAAGATATTTATTAATAGCAAGGGGGTCTATTAACTTTACAGTGGGGCAATCTAACAGGCATGTCACTTCAACCAGGTCATGGGAGTCAACATTATCATCATGAAATTCCCAACATCAGTCCAGGACCAGATACCACTTCTGTGGGATTATTGCCATAAAGGCAAAACCACATTCTAATCATGAAAAAACATCAGACAAAATTGAGGGACATCCCACAGAGCAACTGATAGTACTCTTCAAAAGTGTCAAAGTCACAAATAAGGAAAATCCAAGTAAAGTAACTATTACATAGTAAAGAAAATGAGGGAGACATGACAATAGGCAGCAATGTGAGAATCTGGATTGGATCCTGGGACAGAAAAATGGAAAACTATAGAATAAAATATATATATTTGAATAAGATCTACAGTTTGTATAGCAATATTGTGCCAGTGTTAATTTCCCAGTTTTGATTATTGTGCATGGTTATATAAGATGAAAACATTAGAAGCTGAATAAAGGCACATCTGAACTCTGTACTACTTTTGCAAATTTTCTGAAGTCTAAACTTATCTCAAAGTCAAGAGTTAAAACTCTCATGTTGTAGAAGATATTTATCTCTTTGGAGAAATGGTTGTAATATAATAATTAAGAAGAATGAAACAGTGTATGATCCTACTGGCCAAAGGAAACACTCCCAAAACATTTACAGAAGGTTGGGATTACTACTATGTTCTTTTCCCTTTTTTTGCAATGAGTTTTACATTTAAGAATAAGGTTTTGGCTTTTTTTTTAATTATTCAGTCCAGCTTCAGAGCACTGTTTTTTTTATCAAACTGGGCCACCACTATTTTCTAAAGGAAGTTATATTGTAGATATTTCGAGATGTGTGGCTCTATCTGTCTAAGTATCTAAAACATACCTTCTCTTCTTCAGGCCAACCTGATTCCTAGTTTCAAAAATCTCAGAAAGTAAATCCTGTTAAGCTTTATCCTTCAAAAGCCAAATATAAGCATTTTCTCTCCCAAGTGTGTTCCTATTGCAGATTTTCCCAAATCAATGATCACTCTTTTCTTCTAAACATTGTTAAATTTCTTAAAATATTTTTACTACCTGATGATTCATGATGCTAGGATATTAAAGGAGGTCATCAAGAGGACATGACCCCAGGTTTCCCCTCAAGCTGGACCTGGATAACTGGAGGTCCTTCCCCACACCCCTGTCCTTGGAATGTACATTCCACCAATGGTTCCCAGAGTGGAGCTGTTTTCAAGGATGCAGCCTTGAGCATACATGTGTTGTTGAGACCATCTAGACAGCACATGGGACTGAATCTGCCTCTATAAACTTTTAAGATCCCAGTGGATAGATGTGAAGATTTACTCATCTTGACTTGCAGCTGCCCAAGACAAGCCTCATACGCAAGTATCCTCACTTATTAAATCTGCCACCAACCAGTCTGGAGTGGTCTGCCTCTTTCTCCAGTCTGTTCTTGCCCTCCATATAAGGGAGCCAGTTTCAGTTTTCACCCAGGGAACTCTCAAGGTTTAAAACCAACATAAAGGGACACAGTGAAGGTCACGATACCCATGGAAAATATATGGGCAAGACTGAATGTTTAATCCACTGTTGTGAAATCAAATGAGGGGAAAGAAAGGTATATATGCAATACAGTAATGCCTGGTCTATTCTTGAATTGAAGAATTAAGGGAACTAAGGGAAGACAGCAGTGCCTGGAAGATCCAGTGGCCACAAGCTGACTCTACAAGAATGGGAGGGAGACAATGAAACAGTAATAGCAGTTTCATATGGTGTTTTAATTTTGCAGACCACTAGCACAGAAGTACATGCATTTAGACAATGCAGTTGTTGCTCAAAATATAGTGGAACCTGTGGTATACAATATACTGAATTCTTCTCACTCTTTTGTTCTTTTTTGTATGGACAAATACTGTCTAGTCCCCCCCCCCACAAACACACACACAAACCCCACAAATTTCCTATAATAGATCCACTTTCATACTCTGTATTACAAGTCAAATTTCTTTCTTCCTGTTTCCAGCTGGTGATTAGCATATTCCGAGAAGCACTATATTGACATGACAAATACAATTGCCATTTAAATTTTCTACTATAATTCTTGTAATATATTTATTTGATTCAAGTATTACTAATTGTTCCCATAAAAGCATTTAACTAATACAATAAAATCATAAAATTGTTCCCATAAATCATTCAAATGACATAATAAAGTTGTCTTGCATATATCTTTACATATGTACACATAAGATTCACATATATATTCATATTGTATGTGTGTAAAGAGAGAGAGAATGAGAAGATAGGACTGCATAGGCTATCTTGGAAAAAGGCAAGATAAGGTCAGAGGAGTTCACTCCCAAATGTTCAAGGTCCTGTTGATCTGAGAGGAGGGGGTTCCCTGCCCAGGGCAAGTTCTCTATAAATTTAGTAAGACTGAATAAAGGCAAGGGCAAGAATTTGGGGGTTCAAATGGGGCTTTAGTCTCATAGCAGTAGGTCTCAGCCTCTCATTCACTATGGCTTCCCTCCGCTGGCTTCTGTTCTCTCCTAGTTCTCCTGCCAGTGTTCCCTCCTCTGCTCTCCAATCTCCCTATTCCCAGAATCGGGTTTATTCTCCAGGAGCACCAGGGCTCCACAGCTCTCATGGCACTCTCCCTGATCTCCCAGTGGCCCTCTACTTGCCCAACCCTGGCACCAGAGGGAACTCTGTAGGCAGGTCTCTGGAGACTGGCAGACCCCCAACCAATTACATACCAGGAATACAGGGAGAGGAGAGAATGGGTGTTTCCTCCCCACCCCTCCCCTGGATCAGTACTCCCATTACTGACCAGCCACTCTGTCCCTGGTAAACATCTCACAGATGTGCAAACAGACTCATATATGTGTGTGTGTGTGTGTGTGTGTGTGTGTGTGTGTGTGTGTGTGTGTGTGTGTGTGTGTGTGTGTGTGTGTGTGTGTGTGTGTGTGTGTGTGTGTGTATATATAATGACCACTATTTAAGGCCAGGCGGGAATGTGGGTCAGAAATTTCAATTTTCTCCGCAGGTCCCCGTATCAAAATAGATAACATTTTGTGTTATTCAGATTTCACTTTTGATCTCTTGATTACAACCCTGTAAGGAAGGTCAGGGTAGGGATTATTCTCTTTCATTTAGAGATAAGCAAATGAAACACAGGCTGGTGAAGTAATTTGTCAAAGGTTTTGTGAGGCTGAAGGAAAAAGGCCACTTTTATATGCTCTTGCTAGAGGGAAATTTGCCAGCACCTATCAAAACAGGGGCTGGAGTAATGCAGGGAAAGAAATAAAGAGACAGAGGGATAGCCCACTGATGCAGCAATTCTGCCTCTGAGAATCTAAGAGAAATCCTTACATATGCAAATAAAGCAAATGTACAGGATGGTCTGTAATGGAAAAAAATGGACACAACCCAAATATTATTCAATAGTGAATAGTTTAGTTCTTGATTACTTAAAAAAATAACTCCAAAATCATGCCCTAAAAGAACCACCATTTTGTTATTAATCTTTCATAATTTTGTGGTCACAAATTTCTACAGGGCCCATCAGAAAATACTTATTTATGCTCATCATGTCTTGAGTCATGGCTGGGATGACACAGAAGGCTACAAACTAGACAGCTGGGGACCAGCTACACATCTCTACATCCTCAGATCTCAGAGCCCCTCCATGAGGTCTCCCCATGTGGTCTCCAAGCATGAAGACCTTGGAATATTTGGACTTCTTGCAGTGGCTCAGAGCTTGAAGAGATTGTTCCCAGATGCTTCTGACCTCACCTCAGAAGTCCCAGAAGGTCACTTCTACTGTACTGTCAAGCAAGGGGCAGACCAGATTTCAGGGGGAAAGAAATGGATTCTAGTTCTCAGGGGAGGAGTAGCAAGGAACTGGCAGCATTTTTAATTTACCACAGTCTAAAACTTTGCAACCATTAAAAGGAACAAAGTATTTTATTGACTTTGCTTCCAACTAACCTATGGATTATCTGGGGCATGAGGAAACTTTTGAAAGTGATGGACATGTTGTCTTGGGTTTATCAAATATTATTTATTGTTAAATGCTTTATCTCAGTTGTGGTGGTGGGCTCACAAGTGTACATGTATGTCAAACCTGATCAAACTGTATACTTTAAATATTTATAGTATGTATATGCACAT